AGTGTGAGTACGTATGTAAGTCCGACTGTGTGTTTGCCTTGAAACTGACATTTCGTTAAAACTGACATTTTTTTTCGACAGGCCATCAGGCCCGGTACTTACCTATTGTCGTCACTTGTAGGAATTGCATTATGTAAAATTTGGTTTCCCTGGTGTACATCATCTTCTTCTTCTTATAATCCTCGATCTCTCATTTGAAGTTCATTTATTTCTTTTTGCCATTGTATGTCATTGTACCATTAGCTATGGAGTCTGAGCGATTCTAATCCTCGCTCTCGCCACTCAAGTTCATTCATTTAGTGTTGCAACTGGATGTCATTGTATTATTGGATGAACGTGAAAATTTGAATTGGTTCGGCTATAGAATGTAAAACAACTATTGCCTAAGAGCGTAAGCATGTAAAGTATATATATATATATATATATATATATATATATATATATCACTTCTTTGTCTGACGATTTTTTCCGGCACTCACACACAGACAATCTCAAACACGCCCACACATGCATAAGAAGAGGGGGAGAGGTGACAGAGTCAAAACTGCACACAGACAAGGATAAGCAGCGGAATTCAACCATGCACACATGGGTGAGGTCACACAATGACTCTCACTCTCCGACAGACTCCCAACAAACAACCACAATAAAGAACCTCAGCAAGATCACAATTGATATGATGCTGATGATGAGCCAACTCGAACGAATATCATAACAGAGTTTGTTCCAGTCCCTTGCTCCCCAATCGATTTCCCTCATTCTACTAATAGAGTACAGTACTCTAACCTACGCCTAGACCTAACTGACTAACCGACCAATACCGTTGCAGTTTCGGCCTCTCGATCTTTACCAGACCCGACTATAGGCTATAGAACCGTCTATCAGCTTAGGCCATTAGGGTTTGTCTGTCCTGGGGTAGTCCAGACCTGCTATTCGCAGCAAGGGTACGTATAGGAAATTCGAAATACTGATGGGCCTATATTTTCCATATTTACAGATATGGCCCTCACGAATTTTCCTCACAGGTTCGTCTCACGGTTAGCCCTCAGTCGAACAAAATTACAAATGTAACCCTACGGGGTAGTATACAGCCTCGCCATCAGTCTTGGCAGTGAGACTGAGCAAAAATAGATATATATACAGGCAAAGAGACGGACAAAGTATAATTAAAAAAATAAAATAAGATAATATATATATATATATATATAACATAATGTAGCGTAACAAACAAGACACCATGAGATGTGTGTGAACAACGCCATGCTCAATGAATTTCGAATCACCAGACCAATGTCAGGTCAACGATAAAGCCATTCAACCAGTCAAACGTTGAACAACTCTCTATCGTCACCCTCAGATTCGGAGCTCGACGTCTGGACCCAATCATCGCATACAGGCACCGCATCGTCCTCCACGTGACCGATGATGAAAACACGGTTCTCCCCCACCGCCTCATGGTCGGAACCGGAGGCATCATCATCAACGACTTCCACTGGGTCGCCCCCACCGTTGACGAACAAATCACGCGGCAATGATCCGGCTCCATAAGGACAAACCTCCTGTCGCAGAAGCTCTCGAGCCCAATCTAAAACATGAGCCGAACCGAACACGGACGCCGCCAATCTGTTCTCCCAACAGTCGATCGCCTCGTGACCGTAGTGTCGACGGAAGCCTGGTCTCGCACTTATGGAAGTGCCCGCAGCTATGCGAGCAACATACCCGACCGGGTCACGCCAGCAGTGACTGTTCCACCGAATCACTGCGATCGACAAACGTGCACAGTAAGACTTCTCGAAATGCACCGACTTCTTCGCATAGATGATGATGGTGCCATGAAAAGTCTCCACCGCCGATGTGTGCTGAAACTCGACGTAATACGGCGTGATGTTAGTGCTGTATTGTTAATCGAGAACACGCAGAACGAGCTCGTAGACCGTGTCCCTGCGGCTATACAAAGGCAATCGTGCACGCCCACCGACCTTCTCACACAGAACCTCCCTATCGTCGACACATCCCGAATGATCACCAGCCCAATGATCGGCGACCAACATGATGTCGCGGTGTAGACTGTCGACGTCTCCGCCCTCCTCCCTGCACAGTTGGCAAGCGCGGAGGAATTACATCCCAACCTCATGCGCATGATACTTTGTCAAGCCGTCTGGATCAGTCTCCAACACTCGAGCATTCAACCTCGATCCGTAGGGGTACATCTTTCGCATGACGACAGCGACGAAATCCGATTTCTTCATCCGCTCCTCAGGAGGTGTGAGGACGTCAGGTCCGAAACGCTGCTCCAACGCCTCCTTTAGCCGCTTCTTCGTGAACTGCATAAACTACGTCTCTGACACACACTCGTGCGGGTTGCTCACTTTCTTCGCTTCCTTTAGTTGCAGCATACTGTGGAAGTGGTTGCGAATGTTTTTTATTTTGTGGTGGCAATCCTTCTGCCACTCGATGTTCATAGCTCGCAACTGCGGTCCCAGTGTGGCACAATCATCCGAGACAATGCACCGGATCTTCAACCCCTTCTCCATCAGCCCTCGCAAAAGTTGCACGACGGCTGGCACCTCAAGCGCATTCGATGCCTTGCCTTCAATCTTCGGACGGAGAGTGTGAACACCTACAACAAGTCGAGTCTCGTACTCCATCGAGGTGACAGTGCAATGTTGCGCACCTGTGACAGAGTCATATCGACCATCAACCATCAATGTCACTGGCTCACCACGGTGCATCACAGTGTCAATGGCAAGCTCGCAATAGTTTATGCCCTGTCGTACGACCTCGGCATTCCACCCCTCCACCCCCCCCGGTTCTGTGCGCATAAACTTGTAGAATGTGGGTTTGTGCACCAAGCACATCCCTAAACCAACACAAAAGTTGTCGAGGAGCATGAACGTAAGGCCGGCGGTGACCGTCGCATGAAAGAGCTGCTGCATCAGTCACGACTGATAGACGTTCGTGGTCACGAGTGTCGTGTGCCACGTCCATTTGCATTTCTTGTCGCATACGAACGTCAGCTTATAGAGCTGCGCAGGATAGGAGACGGACTCCACAGACACACGGCACGAGCCCTTGTGCCACGGACAATATAAATGAAACATGGCCAGCAATTGAAGAAGCTTAACCGGCTCCAGAAACACAACATCCGGCGCCGTCGGTCCACTCTACAACGCCATCGCCTCCTCAACACTGGCACGGTCAATTTCAGGCCCAGGACCGCACTGGTCAACACCCTCCCAACTATCCCACCACGTCTGCGGCCGGGCAGGTGTCGATGTGCAGCGACCCGCGCTGCGCGGTCTGCCACGCCCTCTATCACTGCTCTGCGATGCGCGACGCGATAACGGGAACGAGTTTTGCGATCCGTCATGAGACTCCCCTAACCCTCCGCTCGCTGAACCCTGCGAACCCCCCTGACCGTAGTCAACACCGGAATCGCCTGGCATATAACGCAACGTGAAATCTCGACCGCACACCCGAGATGGCAACGAAGAAGAATTCACATCTGCTACCTCGACACCAAACTCCGCACAGATGGCTGGCAAGGACCAGTGGAGCAACCGATCAATAACGTCGCTGACCACGGGATGAGCAAAATCGAATGAATCTACCTACATAGCGTGGCGAGGTACGTCTTTTCAAGTGACTGTATTCTTTTTTCTTTGTTTTGTTGTTATTGTTGTTTTTCCCCCTCCCCGTTCGTTAGCTGTGATAGCTCGGCCAAACAGGAACAGCGAAGGGGGCTGAAACAAAACAAAATTGTAAAAAAAAAAAAAAAAAAGGAAAAAAAAAAAACAAAAAAAAAACAGTCTTTTGACTGTGTGGGAGCAAGAAGAGCTCCCACTTCGAATTGGGAAGAACGACTGTGGCCACGAGATCTCAGATCTCGCGGCTCACAGCGCACTCATGGAGGAGATGGGAGTAAGGGAGAGAGAGGGAGGAGGGACGTGAGAGTTGGGAGGAGGAGGTCCTACTCCTCCCAAACTGACAACTGCCCTCCTCGTTTTCAGGGGAGGGCAGAGCAAAAGGTGGAAGGTTGTTGCATGCTGCATGCACCTGGCTGAGGTAAGAGCCAGAAACAATGAAAATTAGTAGTTAGTTTTTTATTTCTTCTTTTTCTTTATTCATGTGATGACACTTGTCCTCACGTGGTGCTACCTCTGGCACAAGCTGCCAGAGGTAACTGTCAGGCTCCCGTTTTTAGAGGAAGCCTGGAAATTGAAGGGCCATAAGGGAAAAAGGCTAAGTACAGCCTTTTCCTCGATGTATCTGCCCTGGAAAAAGGGTCTAGATACATCAAACTGTAAGGGGCTGTAACTTTCCAACCACTTATCAGAAAAATAAAAGAAAAACACTTTTGGAAATGGCAGGAGACCAGCTATCTCGCCAGATTCCGAGATAGCTGGGAAAAATAAAAATAAAAATAAAATAGGGCAGTTAGAAGAAACTGCCCCACACTAAGGCTGTGGCTGTGGTGCGGCCACAGTCAGCCCTGGATCTAGGCCAGATCAAGGGATCTCTGTGAACCCGCGTTTTTGCCTGGGGGCTGGAGTGACATCCAGCTCCTCTCAGCCAATATAAAAAAGGCAGCTGCCTCCCAGCTGCCACACAAAGCACTCGTGCTGCCAGTGTGTGACGGGCACACTTGAGTGTTGTGGCTGCTGGAGCTGCTGCTGAGGCAACGTGAGGAGGAGCTGGAGGACTGCAGAGGAGCATCAGGAGGAGGACTGGGCAGCCATAGCCAAGGCAGGGAGCACTCTGCTCCCCTCCCCTTTGGCTGGTGCTGGTCCCACGGGACAGGCCCAGTGGCACTGTGGTACTACGGCAGGCGGCACAGGCTATTACAGCGGTAGTACAAGAATGCTGCCAAAAATTTGTTGCGGCAGCACCAACTTTTCACTGCGGTAGTGGGAAAATGCTGCCAAAATTCTGCTGCGGAGGCACCAACTTTTTACTGCGGTAGTGGGGAAATGCTGCCGAAATTTTGCAGCAGCGACACCGACTTTTTACTACGATAGTACGGAAGTACTTTCGAAATTCTGCAGCGGCGGCACCGGTTTTTTCAACGGTAGTGCGAGAGCGCTACCGGATTTTCAAAGCGGCAGTTCTGGTTTTATCGGTGGGGGTGCGGTAGCGCTGACGGAATCTTTTCGACGGTGACTCCGGTTTAACAAGCCGTGGTGCGGGAGCGTTGCAAAAATTTTACGGCGGCGAAGCGAGGTTACAGGCGGTAATATTTATACATTGAGCGGCAGTTAAACCTTGGTATAGGGAAGGTGCCGCTGGAGTGGGGGATCAGAAGTGGCGTGAGTTTTGATGGCGTGATGACGCGGTGGCAGGGAAAATCAGTGGCGGGGATACGTATTGAAAGATAGTGAGGACGCGTTGTGGCAGGTGGTTGTGGTAAAAGGAGGAGTGTGGATTATTTGTCGACGACTGAAGACAACTGTCACTGACAGAGGAGCATAATTTTTATACGGTTTTTCTTAGGTGGGCCGCTATTATCTTCAGTCCAACTTCACTCAAGGTCAGTTAGTTAAATTGACTCAGTTCCCTTCACACCTGAATGAACCCACACTTGCTTCGACCTGTTTTACTGAATGTTCATTAAAAAGGGAAAGAGAATGTGTGCGTTTGCATGTATGACAGGGAGTCAGACAATAGAAAAGGATTGCATGGTGATCTGTGTGTCGTTGGGTTTTGACTGCAGGTACGGCAAATGGACTGAAATGGATGAGGGTAATGACGGTGAAAGAATGGTTGACTTTTCATCTTTGTGCTTATGTTCTATTTATAAATAAAAGAAAAAGAAGACGACGAGAAACGAAGCGAGCATAAGGAAGAGAAATTCAACTTGGTTTAGACTTATTCCTGAGGTTACCCATTCTTTCCCGAATAACCCTCCTCCATCTATGCCTGTCAGTCTGAATGATTCTATCTTTCTACGATTCCTCTTTCTTCGTCTAAGTTTATTTTGATGTTAGGTGGCAAAACCTTACTTGTGTGTCGTGTAGGTGTCTTTCCATTTTTCTATGAGGCATCTGGGGCGGGGGTTCGTTGCCTTAGGGGCCGGCCCTATTATCGACTCAGAGTGGACCGCCTTGCGGGGGGGTACTATGCCGATTCGGTGGAGACGGCCCGACTTCTGAGATCCGAGTTTTATACTCGGAGGAGTATCCCAGACCACCTCTTAGGGTAATGGAAAAGGGCATCCACACAAAGTAAAATTATTTTTTTGACGCCTTGCGGGAAAGGAAAACTGCCTTAGCAATCCTGTTTAAGTGATCACCCTAGGTACCACTAACGTATGGAGAGTTGGCGCCACAAGCAGCCCGACTCATGTTTCACTAGCTGAACGGAGTACATTTAGATACTCCTGACGAGGTTGGTCGTGCTATAAGAAGCACGGGCCAGAAGGAAGACAAATATTTTAGTGATACCTAATTTTAACTTAATCACATTCGGCTTCCTTTTTCCTTCAGATGGCTATGGGAACCACGAAACTATTTCTTTTCAACAATCGTGATACGGCAGCGGAGAGAGTTGAATTCCAAAGGCGTGATGGAGTGAGGGTAAAAAGGGTAGGTCGACTTATTTATAATCCGTCAGAATTATATTATGAGGAGGACGTTCCGCGATTTTGGGGTGGTAGTGCGCAAAGACCCCTCAGACGACTTGTTTTCAGGAGTAATAACGGCCTGGATATTCTTCATTACAAGTTCGTACCGCATCGCCTGAGCGTCACTTCGTCACTATGAACCTGGTGGTATTGCAGCCCTACGAGATCAACCCACGAGTGGACGAAATCCCTGAAATAAGGTTGATGTTCGTCCGTTACGTGCTTTGACTAAATTAGCGACAAGGCTCATTCTTTGGTATACACTACGCAGAATGGTTTCGTGCCAATAGGTTCGCAATTATAGGGGCCGAAGCGTTGTATGATGATGAACTGAAAAATGAAGCGGAAGAACTCAAGGAGTTTTTACGTGACTGACCTGGATTCGTTCTGATACGCAGATGCCTGGAGCAAGACGAGATTTGACGATCCCGAGGTATCTGCTGGTGCGCGACACACATGAAGTCGATCTCATTAGAGGAGCGGAGCAGCTTTTACGGATTCAAGACGATTCTCCTACTGCATGGATTGGCTTCATCGGGCTACTACGGAACAGCGAGGGATTTTTTCCCACCACTCGCGCGGATTTCCGGGCACATACGGTCCGGACTCAGGACGAGTTTTTTGGATATACCTTGTATTTTCACTGCGCAAGTAATCTCCAATGTCTCTCACGAGTCATTGTGAGTATCACGATTACCTCGTCCGGCAGACGTTTCGGCGTCATCCAGATCCGGGACACGGAGACTCGACACCTATTTGGACTTAGTCGACCTCTCCGAGTTATAGTTTGGAGACTAGCCTTTCGGATGACCTCCTTCTATAATACTCGAATCATTAGATTACCCCGAGTTGTCTCTGAAAGATGTGTTTTTAGGTAAACTCCTGCGTGACATAGCCGGGAGGGCCCTCGTTTTCACGCGAGGGCCGATGCGCGCGACAACGCACACAGGCACCAACACAGACACGTACTCATAGTTCAACCAATCAATCTAACAATAAAAAAATCAATCAATTAATCAATCAATCAATCAATCAATCAATCAATCAATCAATCAATCAATCAACCAATCAACCAATCAACCACAAAATCAATCACTCTATTGATTGATTGATTGATTGATTGATTGATTGATTGAGTGAATGACTGAATGATTGATTAGTTTTTATTCTTTTTGAATGGAGAGAGAGAGAGAGAGAGAGAAAGAGAGAGAGAGAGAGAGAGAGAGAGAGAGAGAGAGAGAGAGAGAGAGAGAGAGAGAGAGAGAAAGAAAGAGAGACAATCAATCAATCAATCAATCAAAGAGTCAATCAATTAATCAATCAAAGAATCAAGCAATCAA